ATTTGAATAGGTAAGGTTAATTAATGGGAATATAATTACTTCATTGTTTCTATTTAAAGAAATCTGAATAAATATTGACTGTAAAATTATTAGTCAGTTGCCTCGCCTGCCTTATGCCTAGCTATGCTCCTGTATTTATTGGATTTGATGAAGCATTTGATTACAGGATATGAACTTTATATTGGAGGTCACCCATGTCATGATCACCTTCAACTACATCTGTATGTACGTCATCTTGTAAACTGGTGGGTGCAACAGGTGTTGTTCTCAGACTTGATAACGTATTTTCAACAGCTGGTTTTGTCATTGTTTATCATAATAATAACATTGTTGTCAATAATAACTTAAGTTCATTTACTTCAGAGTAAAATAAAAGTAAATGAACTTAAGTTATTATTAATATATTACCAGAGTGATGATTTTACACAGAAACATTGTTGTCATTACAATTTACATGAAATGCAAAGTCATATTTCAAGTTTTTTATTCAAATTTGGAAGAAACTCTCCTAGTTCGTCTACAAAAGATGACTTAAATGACTGATGGAGAATCCATGATATGTAACATTAAATTCTAAATTCTGCTCTATATATACACATGAATATCTTCAAATATAAATTCCTTGAAATATGAACACGTTTAGGCATTTTATATGTTCTCATTGAGTTACAGTTTATTTACTGTGCATTTCATTTTCATATTATTTGGGGGATTCAATAAGTACTGATAAAAATTGTATAGTACTTGTTGAACACTCCAGTTTGTAGAATTTGTACTTAATACATGTACTCTACCACAAATGTGCAATAAAATTGTAAAAGACTATTATTATGCACATCACTTTACAATATCTCTCTATATTATCTTACTATGGCATCATGGTATGTATTTATCTAATCTGTAAGAGTCTAATGTGACCTGGAATGAGCATGTACAATGCTACAGAATCGATACATGTACACTGAATATACCCCGGGGGGTTCACTATATATAAACCTTGACGGGGATCCTCGGCGCATGTGGGGTACCTTTTTCAACGTTTGGTATGGCAATGGACCCATATTTTAGGATTTGGTATGGTAATGCCCGGAAATTTCTGACTTCTGAGGTATGGCAATGGTCGGACTTTTGCTCTTCTGGTATGAGAATGGTCGTTGTAGATACGTTACCTAACATTCGTGGTATGGCATTGGTCCAGTAGTTGCAAATTTGGATGACATTGATCCTATATTTCATTTACTTTGAATTAAGGTATGGCATTGGTCCCATATTTGGGCATTTGGTATGGCATTGGTCCTACATTTTGACATTTGGTATGGCATTGGTCCCATAATTGGGCATTTGGTATGGCATTGGTCCTATATTTGGACATTTGGTATGGCATTGGTCCTATATTTGGACATTTGGTATGGCCTTTGGGTGTTATTTTGGTTGGTATGGGACATATTGAAATTTGACAGATTGGTATGGGAACATATTGATATTTGAGGCTTCAGCCTAGGACCCCCGTCGAGTTTTATATACAGTGAACCCCCCGGGGAATATACTAAGTATTTTGTCAACTATCTTTTGTTAATGTACAGAGAATAACATCTTCATAATATTCATTCTTTCTGTGTGGTGATTTTTTCTCCATATATTTTGCTAAGTCAGTCATTTGAAAAATTGTAATGTTTGACCGCAGCTCTTTATAATTTAATATTCCAAGGAGTTAAAAGTCTTAAATATCCCTTGGTATGATAAATATGTGCAAAAGCAAGTTGGAAGTTTTATTACGAAATCATTCAAAAACTTAAACTTGCCTGGGGATTAACATTTTGGATGCATCACACCTAAAGTATATTATAACATATGTAAATAACAAGTTTTTTGTATAAATTGTATATATTAGTGTAGTGTAGTGTAGTGTAGTGTAGTGTAGTTTTTGTAAAATTTCATTTTGTAATGACTAATATGTCAGGTCATGACATCTAAAGAGTCAATAAAAGATATATATAATAGAGATTCTCACGAGCTTTAAAAAGAGAATCTGATAAATCAGAATGTTTATGTTAATTCTCTTCATTTCATTTTCCCGTATTAGTGATTTTCATTTATGGCTCATTAAACAGTATTTTTAATACTAACTTGTACATGTTGCAATGGCCTATAGAAGAACATGGGTTTCTTTGAAGAGACTTTCAAATCCTGTTTTTTATTTATCCAATAACTTAATCAATTAGATATTTTCTTGTTTCTTGGTGGGGATGGACAAATACTGAATTTATAGATTATTATTGAATTGCTAGTAATTGGATCCTGCTACGTAGGATTAAAAAAATTATATTCATATTTTGGATTTTGAGTAAATAAGACAATGGTGTTGTTGAAGGATCTTGTTATGGCTAACTGTCCCTGATCATGAATAAAAAAAATAGTAATTAGATTAAGTAAATGCACCTATTCTACACTTGATGTTCAATACTTTCTTAATTAAGTAGTTTGACTGATGAGGCCATTTATCATTGAAATTACCACAACAATTACACTGCATTAAAAAAGGAAAAAAAGAAAAAACGATGACGCTTTGCTCCAACTTGTTAAATGGACTATCATAGTCAAAGTAATGGTGTGATTGATCATACTCAATCTATCCTCAAGGTAGATACTGAAAAAGCCTTGATGGCTGTAAGAATATATCCCATATGAAAACAATACATTTATACAGCTGCATTTTATCAAGGACGTACTTTACTTTTCCATTGAATGCCATGTATCACTTTTTAATATCTGATTAACACGTTTTCTTAGCTCATTTGCAGAGAAATGATAATTAAACTATTTAATGACTCTTCATTGTAATCGAATTCCTATGTTCTATCATAGTCGATCTGAACAAATTCATGTCAAATTATTTCATAAATACAGGGTGGGGCAAAAATATGACCACATATCAAAATTCTACCTTACTCAATCTACAGATGAGCTATTGTTGATATCTTGTCACATGTACTTTATTTGATAAAGAAGTTTATTATATGCTGAAAGAAAGATTTTAATATGTATTAAAAAATTATTTTCAAATACTAACGATTTATACATGTCAGTCATAGGGGTCGTTTTACAAATTTTCATTTTGTATTCAGTTCTGTGTATTATGATGATTTGGTCTATCTTTTGCCAACATAATTTAATTTATTTCTAAATCTTCTTCAGGTAAACTGAATCGGAAGATTTAGAAATAAATTGAAAATTTGTAATCTCAAATATTTTTATGTTTTAAACACTTAATAACATTATACATTTTGCCAACATGATAATACTATTTGACACTTCATAATTCTATTTATTCATTTATTATTATTTTTTAGAAATGACAACAAAATAATGAAATTGTTAGATTAAAAACTATTTTTAATAAAAGATATTTTATTATTTAATTGTGTTGCGAGATGTGATAGGATTTTTTCTAAGGTTTCAACCATGAAGAATCATCATCTGAGTTTAAGGTAGTTCATTATATATGATGTCATGATTTTTGCCCACCCTGTATATTGAATAAACTTCAGAGGCTGATTGGAAAGAATGTTGATTTTGTAAGAGAAACTGTTTTGATCTGGTATTATCATATTTTTAAATTGTATTATTTAATAGGTTTATTTTGTTTTCATTGAATAATCCCTGACTAATAACACTATTGATGTCGGATAAACATGTTCCTCTATAAGAATGATTTATGATATTTTCATCAATAACGGTAGATTTAATATTCTTTCCGGAAGATAAAGCATTTTGATATGATATTTGTTTTCGTAAGTATTGCCTAATTGTAGCTCAAACTATTACGCATGTTTCATGTGTTTTTTGTTTTGCTTGCCATGCATCACTGATTTATAAAGTATCCTTGATAAAAAGCCCTGATATAAGAACATACTGAAGTGAAAAGATCTATCATGGAATAATTTTCTCACAATTCAATTAAGCACAAACATACCATCATAGAAATCTTGACAAAATCATTAGGCGCAAACAAATATTGTTCATCAGTAACCATGGTAATATGTCACGATCTGTCCGAACTGTGCATGTCCAGAGTTGTTTTAAGTGAACTAAACATAAACAAGCAAGGTCCTACATGACGGACAGTCACCTCAATAAAACCAAATCTCTCATAATTCACAGTAGTATGTTCATCAATAAGAAAACATAATAATAAAATCGGTGAAGCATATCTCAGAAAAATATGTTGTGAAAATTCTGTTTGGATACAGCCTTCTTACATTAGCTTTGATTCATCCAAGGAGGATTGGCTCCCAGAGTGCAACATCGATATTCTGTCCCATATATGGAAAAACTCACAGGAAATGATCTACATATTGTTTCGAATCTGGGAGCCAATCCTCCTTGGAATCATCCGCACATAAGTTTTATATACAAGGGGTAATTCAAAAGTAAGGTGACTGTATTTGCCATTTCAATCATTTTAACCAATTTCCTTAAAATTCACAAAGGATGCGTGTTATCTATTTATACATTATGACCCAATTTCAATATCTGATTCTGACTTATGACCATTTTGTAGTTGCTATAGTAACTTTTGGATCACCCCTTGTAGTAGAATATGATTGTATAAAATATTATAAAACAAGGCACTTGTTAAAGTCCCTGTCAATTCTAACAGTACTGCAATGTTTATGAAGCATTACTACAGTATAAGATGCATTAGTCCAAAGGCATACTACATTGTACTTGACACATACATGTATAACAAATGTTTGTGAAATTTAATTTTGTCCATCGTATTTACTATCTCTTGTAGAGGTGTTTGCTTCTGCAAGCATTGGATGACAAAAGATGAATTTGAGTGTATTGGTTGGAAACTACCCTGCAAAAATTCTGAGGTATTTTCTGTAAGAAATTCTAAAGACTATGAACTTTCATGAATGAAAGAACCTCGTAACGACACAATGTTTGTAATAATTAAATCCATCTCACAGTATATGATAGAAATTATTGTGCTTTTTCTGTGCATGAACACAAACTGTTTTTTTCAAGAAAACAATGTAATACATTTGTAATTAATAAGACCTTTTACAAGGAGTTCAACTGAATGCAGATTTTATCATTAATATTAAACTAATGCGTATAAATCCTAAAACATATTATTAATACATTGTTCTATCTTCTTCCTCATTGTTGTTATTGTGGAACGCATTATTTGGACTGAAAGCTGGATTATCGTAGATAATTGAAATGTTGAATGCTTGAGTTGTGCTCGGGTTTGTTTGAAATCTCCCCGATTCATCCTGTTTGTGGTTATCTGGCATCTCAACGGAGACGAGTACCCCAGAGCAAATGTTCATGATTGCCACTATGATGATAATCCCAGCACTATAGTGCAGTCCCCAGGGTGTGTCTTTGGTCCATTCTTGTGAGATCACTGCAACCCAGATTGAGATCAGCACTAAGTCGAACACCGCTGAAAGTAATAAATCAGTTTATGTTATCAGTTGGTTTTACGTCAGTGCTGTGGAGGGAGGTTGTAGCATATGTGTAAAGACAAACTCCTTGTGAATTAATGTTGTATTTGTATGATTCAAGATTAATTAGGTATTTTTCTAGAATTCTGCAAAACATCAACTTGACACATTGAATAGAATATATTATTTTCCCATCTGCATCAAACAATTTGAGTAGGGAAATAGAGAATATGTTCATTCATCTATATGTCTCTTCATCCACCATCCATTCTCTTGTCCATTTGTATGTCTGGGAGTTAATTCAAATACTGGTTGTTGGATTTGGTTCTTTATAGGCTGAGGTCTTATGAGCATAAAACCTCTGCTTGTGAATAAGTTTCCATTTTTCTGATCAAAATACCCATTATGTATCATAAAAATACAGATTTTATATGCTATGCCTTATGGCATATTACTCTGCTCAGGAAGGACTTTTCAGGATGGCTGTTGAATTCAAAATGGTAGTAAATACCAGTTTCCAATTTAAGTCCAAATGTTATAGATAAAATGACTTTGCATTGGACTTCTTCTCGAGAAGGAGTTTCATCATGTCATATCATGGGTGTTGATTTTGCCAAAAGGAGAAAATACTACAGCCTTGTTATTTTCATCATGTATTATGTTCAAAAGGACAACTCGGTTAAAGAAGTCTTGTTTGTTGGGACTTGCAACTCCAGGGATTTGTTGTTTATCAAGTTGTTCATCATATTTCTAGTAAACAATACTTTTATGTACATATAATAAGGCTAAGGTAGGTTAATGTGTTTTCTGACAAAGCTTTTATTTCTCATGTTTCTTAAAAGCTCAACAACAAGCGAGGGATTCATTTTTTATTAATACTTACTGCAGACATGAATGGTTGTTATTTGTTAGGACAAATGTGAAAAATAGTATCCATGCATAAGACTGACCAGTATATTAACTGACCCGAGCTTAAGGTTAGATACAGTGGACAGTTGTATATTATTGATCAGGGAAAATATTCTTTTAGTTTATGTTTTTGTTTTGCATTGGCAAAGTGAATCTCGAGAAGCAGAATATTAATTGAATAAAACTTATCGATTTGCTTCATAAACAAGTTCTCCGTACATACCTGCAATGAAGGAGAATCCTGTGGTATGAGAAAGATATTTCCTATTGAATTTCTTCATGTACATCCATAGGTTGAAGAAGGCCAAGATGATGGCACACTGGGAGACAAGTGCCATACCCGCTGTTAGGATGCTCTTCATATACGTTAGAAGCCAAACTGAAAGCAATTTGAATACGTATTACATACGTTTTAAAAAATGTATAATTGCCTTGATATATAAAATTTAATTTTGTCATGAATCGACCTGTAGCTTGTTCATTTCTGACACAAAAATTAAAGAGGCATAAATGGAATTTGCTGTGTTTGAAAGTCAAGTATGTCGGTCTAGAATAATTTCTTCTTGCCTCAAATCTCTGGTCTAGAATTAAATTCAAATATATTCAAGGAATGGGATGAAATAACACAGTTTGATTTTGCTTTGTTAAAAGAGAGTTTCATCTACACTCCTTGTGTTAAAGATAATCATTTATTCTGGCCTTAACCAATTAAAATACTGAGAATACGGTTGATAAAAAGGTCCAGATATCCAATCAAAATAGAATTCAATTAATTTTATACCTCATAGGTACCTGGCATTCATTTTGTAAAGAAACTCTCATTAAAAACCATGACAGGTCCATTTTAGGCCATTAAGATCTTAGCAGTATATGACACTCAGGGCAGCTTGATGCAATACCAGATTTTCTAAGTTGATTGTATCCATGTGAACTGACATGGACTGACACATCAGGTTGATTGTCAGACTGGACAATCAATTAATGATACATATGTATGTAAATATTGACTATATCTCATAATTACATGCATCAGTAGATAAAGATGTGTAATTGTAATTATACGAACATATCTGTTTAAGCAAAATATGGCAAATGTAATGAAGGGTGAACGAACATATCATTACCTGTAAAACAATAATTCAGTGCTAAATGCTGTGTTTGACATTCACACAACATCATTGTTAAAATGATTAAAAAAACGTATTCCATATTTTTTTAAAAACAAGGCTTGCGATACAGGTTCAACGCACCTCCATGTATTGATTTTACAGTACTTTCAAACCATAACTGCAAATTTTTTTATGTTTGATCTTCAACTTAATATAATAAAAAACAGATAAAAATCTGTTAGTGTTGATTTAGTTTTAAAACTACTTGCGTAATATATCATTTATGTTTGTCTAAAGAGAGCATTCAGTCCATTGATATCAACTTTCATATGTCTAGAATAAATATGCCATTAAATTAAAGGAAATTATTTGCAATAATGTTATTATTTTTACATGATTCAAGTAGGCAAGTCAAACAAAATTAATGGAGATGTTATTTTCAGGTAAAAAGGTCCCATTAAAATAACATAAAGTATGAAATATTGGCAGGAATAATCCCACATCAAAGTGTAACAAATTTTTACTTTTCAAATTTTCGATTCTTTGTAGTTCTGTGCCATTGTATCAGTTTTCTTACAGTTAACACAATGAGAAAGTGTTTTCCAGTTTGGTTGATAAGTAGTATACTTACATGAATGTATGTGACACTAAAGGAGTAGGCAGAATCATGTAAACTGTTCGATTTTGTGAGATTTCTTTTTGCTTTCATTTGTTTACATTTTTCTCACCTTACTTTTGAAGAGCTATCTTGACCTACATTCAATTACTCGTTTTTTTCGGTCAATTTCGGCATGATAATAACCAATGAAGATTGGTTTATGTTATATTTATTTAGTTTATACATTTATCTAGTTAATTATATACTAAACATGTATTAATGTTACATTAGATAGCACAGATTATGAGTTCTAAATGAAGCCAGTTATTTTGCACTATTCATATCCTGATTGCATCATAATAATTGTACACCAGTCTTGTCCTGTCCAGGGGCCTAGGTATTGCATCAGCCCATTAATCACTTGATAGGTTCGTGTGCAAAACCTAGTACATGTTACATACATGTCTGGGGTATAAATAGAGACGACCAGGTGACTCAGCAGGCATTTTCTAGCTGGAACTGAGCGAGGACAGGCCTGTGTGCCTCCAGGAATTGACGCTTGATGGACTTAGGCTAATTCTACCCATATATCTGATGGACTTAGAAGATTTTCATCACATATATTGAGGGACTTAGATGATTTTACCCTGGTATATTTAGAGGATCTTAGGCAGATTCGACATACCCGTTGAGGGACTTAGAGGATTTTATCCTGGTATACTTCGAGGATCTTAGGCAGATTCGACAAACCCAGTGAGGGACTTTGAGGATTTTACCCAGAGGTATTTAGAGGATCTTGGACAGATTCAACACACCTGTAGAGACGGAGTGGATTTTTAGGTAGAGGTATACTTAGAGGCATACCTGTAGATGGACTTAGCAGATTCTAGGTTGATGCAATTAGAGGATATTACCTTGAGGGACTTAGCCAATATTCACCATAGTTGCCTGGAGTTTGATGCCCAGAGGAACTTAAGGAATATTCACGTATATATTGAGGGACTTAGAATATTCATAGCTGGCTAGAGGAACTTTGTAGATCTCCCTACATCTACAACTTGATGAACTTAGAATATTACCAGCTTGAGAGACAGAATATTCATCGCTGGTTAGAGGAACTTTGTAGATTTCACACATCTATAACTTGATGGACTTGGAATATTCACCAGCTTGAGGGACTTAGAATATTCATTGCTGGCTAGAGGAACTTTGTAGATTTCCTACATCTACAACTTGAACTTAGAATAATACCAGCTTGAGGGACTTAGAATATTCATTGCTGATTAGAGGAACTTTGTAGATTTCCTATATCTATAACTTGGTGGACTTAGAATATTTGCCAGCTTGAGGGACTTAGAATATTCATCTCTACCTAGAGGAACTTATCTACAACTTGATGAACTTAGAATATTCATCGCTGATTAGAGGAACTTTGTAGATTTCCTACATCTTCAGTTTGATAGACTTAGAGTGTTCACAACTCATCTGATGAACTTAGATTATATCGCCAACTTGGTGGACTTAGAATATGCATCGCTCAGCTGATGAAAAACTATATTAGTGATGAACACTTTTATATATAGATAAATATACAAGTATAATTGCATAAAGGACTTATAATTAGTACCTCTGAAACTGAAACTTAGTATCAATTGTCGATTTGTGTTGTATTATTTTGAGGCGGATGAAGCCAGAATATATGTTGTTAATTTTATATTAAATATTGTGTCTCTTTATTCATGCGTACATTTAATGTGTACCAAGTATCCTACGAAGTAACCTGGTCTGATTAATAACAACATCCACACTACCACAAATCAGGCCAGACGTTACACTGGTGGCAGCGGTGGGATTGTGTGAATTTCAAGATACAATATTAGAATTGACACCATATTAAGAGTATGGAGAAAGAGCAGGATGTTCCATCTCCTCCAGTTGTGGAGGACATGACAGACATGGAATCAGAGACCATTCGAAAGACCGACAAAGTTGGTATAGATAACCCTAGAGTGAATGATAATACCATGCCCGTGCCGGGATATGACCTTACTCAAGGAGAGTCTCCAGGACCCAGACTGAAGACTGTGAAACTGGATACAAGAGAGATGGGATTACCCAGTCTTTGGAGTACAGGGTACTGGACAGGGAAAGTCTTAGACACTTCTCCCATCAGTAGTGATGATGAAGAACCTCAGAGGAGGCATAGATTTCCTCTCACTTCAACTGCAGCTGATATTGAATCAGTTAGTTTCAGAGAAAAGGGGGACAGAATGAGACAAAACTTAAATTGGATCCAGGGAAAGTTGGAATCCAGAATGGATGTATTGAGTGAGGCTATGATAGCTCAACAGAAACAGATGCAAAAACTAGCCGAGACCCAACAGGAATGTATGACACAAGTAGTCAATACCCAGAAGAGTCTCATGCTAGGACTTACTGAGTCTCAAAAGACTCAGATACAGAATATTCGTCAGATTGCAGAACAAGTTCGATGTAGCCAGGACAACCAAGAGGCACAGTTTCAGGGCCTGAAGGGTCAGATGAAAAATTTTCAACAGACCATGGAGAATTCTATCATTGAAAAGCTTCAGCATAGCCTTTCTATTGAATTAGGTGCACCTGATACATCAGAGAAGCCACAACTGCTTGGTAATGTTCGAAGTCATTCATCACATGTAGCTCAGACTCAGTCTCCTGTGATTTCTGCTGGAAGGGATGAATATCCAACAGTTAGAACTCAACTGACCATTAGGTCTAAGGACAGTTTCACACAAACCCCACTGGCTTCAGGTGTAAAAAGGCCCCAGAAGCTAATTAGGCAAGGTAGAAATTCCTTGAGACCTGGTGAAGAACTGATGGAGCACCATGCTAAAGGTCTTACCCAGCAACCTAAAGACCTAGAAGGATTAAGTCAGGTCGAGTACAGGCTAGGAAGTGAACAGGCTGACTTCACCTCTGCTCAAAACTTCCCACGGTACCCCGATGAGGAGATTGATAATTTGACGAGGTATATACCGCCAAAGGTAGCTTCTAATTTGAATCAGGCCAATACAGTGGATGATGGACTTGTTAAGACAGAGACCACCAATGGTTCTGATCTATCTACAGAGCTCATCAAGATGTGTTCGAAGCTATGTGATAAAGTTTCAAAAGATAACTCTGAAAAGGCCAGTAAAAGCAGAATTAAGCCAGATGTTTACAATGGAACGACACCATGGCAGGACTATAGAGCCTACTTTGAGATTTGTGCCGAGGCAAATAATTGGACGGAAGAAGACAAGAGACGATTCTTGGCCACAAGCCTCCGTGGCCCTGCCCAGCAAATGGTTCTGGAGTTGGGCCAAGATTACAGTTATGAGCAACTTCTGCTTGCTTTAGAAAAACGCTTTGGTCCAGGGGGCAAGGCCGAAGTTTACGAGGCTGAGCTGGTAGGTCGAATTCGTAAGCCCAAGGAAACCTTGCAAAGTTTAGGCCAAGATATAAGAAGACTTACGTCCTTGGCATACCCTGAAATGAGCCGAACTGCACAAGACCGTCTGGCTAGACGCAGCTTTGAGCAGGCTATACTTGAGGAGGAGATAAGACGGGCTATACGTACAAAGGATTGCAGTACGCTAGATAAAGCCATTGAAGTAGCCCTTAAAGAAGAATCATATATGGAATCTGAGAGGA